CACCATCTCATTGACAACAAGCAGACCAGCGGTCAGTATCTGTTGAAACTGTCGCGCGAATTGACGCAAGAGTTGTTCGACCGAAAGGTGACGTCCAAGAAGTTTACGAAACTATTTTTGGTCGAATTTCGGTCGCAAATGAGCGCATGCGTTGACCTCATAAATCGGGGTGAATTCAATTCGCTATTTAATATCATCGTTACGTTCGCTACCAATGATTCCGCGAAGAGTTTGGGCCTAAAACAGGACATACTGTCCGCTCAGAAGGCCATCAAAGACTGCGCTGACGTGAAGAACGTGACACTCGTTAACATTATGAACAGATTCACGACAATCACGCGATCGCCGCCGCAGAAGAAGAAACCGACCAAAACTGGTCCGCAGAAGACCAAAAAGCGAACGCATACGCAGACCATCGAGCAATTGGCGCAACTGATCCTCAAGTGCGACAGCGGAGGCGTCGACGCCAACAAAGGTCTACTTCTGGAGCGGTTCCACAAACTGGAGCCAGAATTGGTGTGCGAAGAGTCGGCGAACACACGTCTGGAGACACAGCTTCTGTTCTCGAGGAATAATCTGTATTTGTTGTCACTATTGATCCATAAGACACGCTTCGAGACGCTGAACGCGTGCATCAGGAGTGTGTTGAGCGATGACCACCGGTTGGCCGACTTGAACGCCACCGCAGTGTTGGACTTCTTGACGGCGTGTCTCGGGTCGCCGCGACTTTGGATCGGTCGGGATCTCAATCAACCGAAACACTCGGAATACGAAGACGTCCTTAAACTGGACGACAAACAGATCAAACGACTCTTGGATTACGTCATCGAAGAGGCGAATGTCAGCAAACGGGTCCCACTGGTGATCAAGAGTTGTTGTCTGCGCTCCAATCAAATCAAACTAGTGGTCAATACGTTGAAACAGTTGGACGACAGCGGCGGCGACCAGCGGTCGTCCATCGCCGGCGAACTGCTGTTCCGACTCTACCTCCAGATACCGAGCATTGAACAGCCGTCGCGTATAACCGAACAGCACTTCGCCATCAATAGTCAGGAGCCGAGCGCTATTGACTCGATGACACACAACCTGTTGACCGCATTCACGAGCATCGAGTCGTCGCCCACTCGACAACAGGCCGGGTATCTCAACGACTGCGAGCTATCGATGTTGAAGTTGGCCTCCAAACACCCGGTGCTGTTCCTGAGGCAGTTGCCAATGATTCCGGCACTACTTCGCGGCAAACTCTGTTCCGTGACATACGATGTGTTCAAATCCCGTAACTATTTGTCCACTTTTAAGCGTCTATTGAATATTCTTCGACTTCTGAAGCCATTCTTGTGGAACAAACAAGTGAAGGGTTTGAACGAATTGCTGTCGACGTATATCAGACTCTTTCACGACTACTGCCGTTACGGTGGCCGCGAACTGTTGCCGATGTTATCGCAGTTTTTGTTTCTCGTTGACGATTGGCTTAAATCGGACACCGAATCGGCCAAAGCCTGGATTAAAGCCAATCGAAAGCCTATTGTGTGAGTATTTTACTGATTTTTTAAAATATATTTTGTTGTATTATACACTGATGTGAATGTCTTGTGTTTACCATCAATGATAATGCATTACGAATACGAATTGATATTTTGCAGAGATCTGTCGACTGTATTTCCGGAACAATCACTCTTCAAATCGCTTCTATCGGGTCTACCGTTTCAGACACAGAATCCGATGGGATTTAATGAGAAACACTATTCGGAGAATATTCTGCTCCGACTTCGGG